TGTAGTCCGTTGTATAGAACACTGTAGTTTCCATAATTTCACCGTAGCAGCAGACGCACACAATGACGTCCGCTGGCGCATCGTAAACACGTCAGATAGTGAAAGTGCATTCGGATTCTCTAAAGTACAGCAGTCTCTTCTCCTAAGTCCTTTTGAATTCTCCTATCCACTATCCCTTAACCCCGTGACGTTTCACTCAGAGGTCAAGAAATAGGATAGGGTTAGAATTTAGGAGGTGATTTTTGGATTATCGGAACGCAACCCTGGTGCATATCTATCCCTTCTATTTCTATGTCAGGCTCGTGAACACACTTCCTCGCAAGCGCGCGCCCAGCGCGTTCCTTTCCATCCGCAAGCCCGAGGGTTAGCCTGTGTGTCCACGCTGAGCCGTTCCATCAGAAAGAGAAATGCCGACAAAAATCATCTTTGAGAGTGAAGATCAAGTCATGGAGGACGACGTGGACACTGTCGCGGAGGCTAAACCCATCAAGGTGAGCAGCGCGTGCCCTGTCGCCACGGACAGACTTAAATATCCACGTAGCTCGTGCGACTTCTTCTCCCGGCGCTCCATGTTGACAACATGTGGCTCAACGTGCTAGCATAGGCTAGCTAGCTGTTAGCAAACCGACGTTCAGATCAGTTTAAGTAGCGTCACTAGCATCCACATGATATAAACAAACCACTGCGGTGCGATTTTATAAACTTAATGTAATCCACTGCTTCATTTTAACATGGGACGCTTCCTTAGCCTAGCTATAAGATCACATGGCAAGCCCATGTATTTATGCAATGATCTATATATCACGTGGATGTATTTAAGGACAACGTGGAGGCCTTAAACACACTGCGCACATCTGTTTGTGTATCTGCGCTGTTGGCGCCCCATGATGACGTAATATTCAGCTGGGCTCGTCAGCTGTTAAGCTTACAAAACAACTTGCCCACAACTGTACAACTATATATTCAAGTTAATGATCGCTGCTTCTAATGATTATTTGTTTTATAACTACAGGCTATGTATAATGCTTACATGTTTTAATTAAAACAAAAAACAGTTGCACCTTAAACTGACTCTTTATTGTAGTCTGGCCTCAAAGTAATTGAGGTATTATAATTTGAGTTAGCCCGTATAAATATTTCAGTCATTATTGTTTTAAGGACTGGAAATGGTAAGTAATGGATATTGCGTTACTGCTATTTATTTAAAACAACAAGGGAAGTTGGCAGCTTAGCTCACTTTACATTGTGTACAATACATTCTGTGTGGATGCCCCATTGTACTCTTTATTTGAGTCTAGCTCCCACAAAATGTACTGAAAGTGCACTTCAGAGGAGTGAAACAAGCGTTGGTGCTTTGATATCATCCGGCCATCGATAATAATTATACCTTGGCTTACATACCCACAATGAGAAGTTGTTCATCAGCAAAATTGCAATAGGATGAGAAAATGGCAAAGAGATTTGGAACAAACTGCCAATTTATTTCTGTCCTTGCGTTCATATAAGGCAGTGAATTTGTTTGAACTGAAACCTATTTATCTTCTATTGTTTCTGTTTATAATAAAAGAAGACCAAAGAGGGCAAGAAGCTGAAGAAGAAGCAGTTGGAGGACCAGGAAGAGCAGGAGGACCTCGACTGTGAACCTCCAGCACCAAAAAAGAAAAAGAAAAAAGACAAGTTGGACCAATCGATCGGACACGTAGTTGAAGACACAGGAATGAACGGCAACTGTGATGATGTTGAAACACCAAAAAAGATTAAGAAAAAAAAAACCCCTGAAGAAATCACAGAGGTCAGTGCTGTTTGATTTAAATGTGCAGTTATATTTATGTTTCTAAACTAAAAAGAGTTTAAATAAATGGACAGCAAACAGTTAAATATCCACTCATTTGTTGAGGCCCATTGGATTACAGTGAACATTTTATAAAGATAATACTCTGCCCCTCTTCATAAAACATTTTTTTCCATGTTTATCTCTGGGTTTAGAAAAAAGAAAAGAAGCATAAGAAAGCAGAGGCAGTAACCAACGGACAGTCCTCCCCCAACACCCCCGTCCAGACGCCCATCCCGACACCGGCCCATTCCAGCGACGACTCAGACAGCGAGAAAGACATGGTATGACTAGCCTCCTCCCAGTAGACGATAGAAGTTTGTATCGTTACTCTGTGATAACTTTTGACACGTTGTATTTATGATGAGCGGAAAAGCTGGAGTTCTGTTGGTCAGTTCGGTAATATTATGTTGGTGGATTTTAAAACATGCTGCCTTTCACTACTTGGCATGTGTTAAAGCATTTAAAAGACCCACAAATAAATTGAAACATGATTTATTCAATTGAATGTATGGATTAACTTGTGTATCTGTCCAGGGGCTGACACCGCAGCAGAAGGCAGGCGCCTTCTCCAACTTCAGGATCTCCCAAGTGACCATTGATAAACTAAAAGGTAAATAACGTATTTACATTTTTATTCCTGAGTGTACTGGTACATTTCCAAAATCCGACATACTTATTACTCTGCCAAAAAATTGCACCTTTTTATAGTATTTTAATTTTGTCTAAACAATTAGCAAAATAAATACCAGTTTTATAAAACACAGCAAACATTTTCCATCCTGTTCTAACTCCCATGTACCCCAATTATATCTATTGAGTTGCAACTATCTTAATTAGATACCCTTTTTTTCTTTTAAATGGATGTTCATTCAAAAGAATAAGATTTTCATTCAACATTTGGTGGTCACCATTTTCAAATGCTTTAACTCGTGTTAGACACAGCTCTTTTCATTTACTTTGTTGTGCAAACTGAGCTTTGGATTGGCTGGGATTGTTTACATTGTGCTAAAATATCAAATTAACATGTCTCCTGCTTTTCTCCCTCTCTGTGCCCTCTTTCTATCCTTTCCTCAGCTCGGGGTGTCACCTACCTGTTTGACATTCAATCAAAAACCTTTAATTCTGTCTTTGATGGAGAGGATGTAATTGCCCAAGCCCGAACAGGAACAGGAAAGACTTTCTCGTTTGCCGTCCCTTTGGTGGAGAAGCTCCAGAGAGACCCAGTGGATTCTGCCAGAGGCCGGGCTCCCAAGGTACAAACACTAGTACACTCATCACTAAACACCTCAACCAATGCTATTTCATGTGTGTTGTATATAACTGAAACTCTTTTTTTGTCACTCTGTAGGTCCTGGTGTTAACTCCAACAAGAGAGCTCGCTATCCAGGTTGCTAAGGACTTCAAAGACGTCACCAAGAGACTTTCTCTTGCCTGTTTCTATGGAGGCAGCTCGTACAATCCACAGAGTAAGTTTTGTTCATAAACTAATTAATTCGGAAAACCGACAGTCAAAAACATTAAATCAACTATACATTTTCTTTATGTTTTTAAAAGAACTTTTGGCGTTACATTTTTTATTTGATAGAAAATGGACAACTGTGCCTTGTAACCAGCAGCTTACCTCTTTGTTTGTTTTAGGGAGGTTTCTGGTTGTCACTAGTGCTGCGTACCGGTACGCCGAACCGGTACTGGACTTGTAAAAAGTTTCGGCTCAAGTCCGGTTAAAACCGGAACGTCAGGAACCGGTACTTACGTATATTCTCCTTTTGTGTTCTAAACCATCTAAAACCTTCCATAGATCGAGAAATTTGCGCTGAGAAAAGACGAAAAACATTGTTTTGGCTTCTGATATGGCGGCCATTACTGAGCTCACGAAGTCTCGCAAAATATCGCAACTGCTCGCGAGATCTGTGTGACGTCAAGGGAAGCTGGCTTAGACATAGTGGACACTGACAGCGTGGGATGCTGGTTGCCATATTTGGTAGTGTAGCTAAGCTAACTCCTTTGTATGTATGGTGATATAGCGTCTGCCGAAAGAGCAACACTTCACCCAGACAATGTCAATATGCTGTTGTTCTTGAACAAGAACATATAGACTTGTACTCTTGCATATTGAGTCTTGTATGTACATCACTATGTATGTAGTTGTGTTGTGTAGTTAGTAACACATGTAGAGTTCTAGAAAAGACATGGTGTAGACACAAGTTGGAAGGGGGCACAATAAACCTGACGAGTTTGAATTTGAGTTGATTATGAGTTTATTTTCAATTGATAATTAGCTCACAATAACTTCACTTTAGTTACTCACACAACTTGACACAAGTCCGGACTTATAAGTCCGGACATGAACCTGAACCTCTGGACTTGAGTCCGGACCTGAACCTGAATGTGAGTCCAGGTACACAGCACTAATCAACTTTAATTCTTGTATTTTACACCTTTTTTTGTATCCATATCTCTCGCTAGAATCTCCCACCATCCAACTAAAAACAACAACGTCAAGCCTTTGGGCTCTGAAAATACGGGCCGGGCCGAGGACAAATACACATGCGTTAATGGCACGTTAAAATTAAAAAATGTGTTTGACAGCCCTAGTTTTAAGTGTTCATTACTGTTAGGGATGCTCCGATCAATCGGCAGCCGATCGATATTGGCCGATACTCACTCTCTGCCGATCGATCAGAGTGCTCTCTAAAAATGCCGATCGCATGAGAAAAATTATGACGTAAAATACAAGCTCGCCAAAATGGCTTCACCTTTACTAGTAGGGCTGCTCAATTAATCGTATTTTAATCGCAATTACGATTTTGGCTTGCAACGATTATGAAACAACACATCATCGAAAATATTTTGTATATATATTATTTTTTGGGTTTTTCAGTTGAATTATAACTTAAGTTCAGGGTAATCGACTGTTAAAAAACATACTGTTCACATTTTTATCTTCAATAAGATTGATGTTTTCAAGTAAAAGTGGATAATCGTTTTTAATAATCGTGATATCAATTATTTACCCCAAATAATCGAGATTAGATTGTTGCGCATAATCGAGGCAACCCTATGTACTAGGGGAATGTTAAGATCACCGATTCGCATCGCGTGCACCGGCATAAACGTTCAAGATGCGAATGCAACGCGGTTGTGAAGAGTCCACATCGGCTTACCGTTGGGTTGAACTTGCGATGCATCCAAATTTGTAGGGGTGTCAAACGGTACACGTACCCGTACGAAATTATTGCGGTACGGGCCTTCGGTTCGGTACACGTGTGTACCAACGAATATAAACTTTAAACGTAAAAAATTGAGAACGTGAAGTTCGTGAACAACTTTTTTGGAAAGTAATCTCACCTGGCTGGGGCGTCACAGCATCAGAGTAATTTGCCCTCAGCAATTGGGTTCAACGCGGTCAGAGCGAGCGAGCAACTTTCATTTTTCATTGGAACCGAGGAGGCCCCATACTATGAGAGCTGGTCACCAGGGATGCGTTCAAATTTAGTCAGTAATTTGAGGAACTGTCGAAATGGCGGACGCAGATAATTGAGCTCGAAAAACCTCCCAGCATCAATTGAAGTCTCCGGTTTGGGACATTTTGGTTTCGCAAAGTTACGTAGGCAGGATGACGGTAAAAGACAGGGTGGACCGGAACCAAAGGCTGTTGGTTTGGCTTGTTCAACTAAAATGTGTTACGCGGGCGGCAATACATCAAACTTGCACCTCATTTGAAAAGGCCATCACGCCGACGTGAAATCACACCGATAGCCAAAGAAAAATGACTCAAGTGCAAACCCCAACCGCCACTAGGGCAATTTTAACCCTCCACGCCTCCGCAAAAAAGTTGCAGAACGAGCCAAAAAAGCTATTCAAACGCCAAATACCTTATTGCCTGTTAGGCAAAGCGGCTACCCTGGCTGTCAATCTTGCTAACCCCTCTGTCGCCTAGCGGAGAAGGGTGTTCTCCACAGCAGGAGACATTGTTAGTGGCCGCAGATCTGGCCACATTCGGCAAGCAATGTGGAACAAGTTAAGTTTTCTTTAAAAAAACATGAACAAGGCAAGTCATGAATGTCAAACTGGCTGCTTGGTACTGTGACCAGTACAGTTTCAAATACAATTATTTCAGTTTCATCGAAATGCGGCTCGCTTAAATGTTTATTTTATGATATTTTGTATGTTGAACTTTACTGTACTAGTCTCACAAACATAAAGCTATTAGTTTGGGTTTTTTAATTATCATAAAAAACTGTGGAAATTCACTCAACATAAATACAAAATATAATAAAATCCAACATTAAGGACAGCAATTTCGATGAACTGAAATAACTGTATTGAACTGTAGCTCGTACAGTACCAAGCAGGCCAGTTTGAGCATTATGATTATACTTGTCATGTTTTTAAAGAAACTTAACATTGTCCCCACATTGGCTTGCCGAAAAGGGCAGATGCTGCTGGCACTAACAATGTCTCCCTGGCTGTGGAAGAACACCCCCTCGCTAGGACAGAGGTAGGCAGATATGCAGCCAGGTAAGCGGCTTTGCTAACATGGCAAAAATGAAAGATATTGGGCCCGTTGTAAAGCTTTGGCTCGTCTGACTTTTTGGCGAGTGTGGAGGGCTAAATGCTAGTGGGAGTGGGATTTTGCAGCTTGAGTCATTTTTCTTTTTGGTATCGTGATATGTCACGTTCGGTGATGCCTTTTCAAATGATGTGCAA